GATGCATGCGATAGTTACCGCCTCCTCATATGCCAGTATAAACAGGATGATTTTGAGGAGAATGCCCTTTGACTCAGGAAGGTGGCACCATTTCATTGTCTGCTTGGGCAGCAAAATCTCTCAGTTTAGTCATGACAGAAAGACAGAAGGCTGGGCCGTGGGCATCTGCAGCTTCTCTTTGCTTCAGGGAGGCTTATACAAGACAAATTCCGCATGGAATCTGCCCCACATTTGTTGGGGCAGGGAGTTTGTTGAAATGCGCAGTGTAGGATTTATGTTTTAGATACAACAGAAATATCTGGGAATCTTCCTGCACAATCTTGTAAAGGTCTTGGGCACAGAAAGGTGGTTCCTCAGCTCCGTTATTACTTCATTTTATTCTGATGTTTCCTCCAAGGAGCTGGAGGCTCTCCAGTGGCATATATGGCTCCCCCGCCTCCCTTTTCTCTTCCCTACAACCTTGTGAGGTAGGCCAAGCTGTGAGATAATCACCACCTCAATTCATCTAGTAGGATTTCTGGAAAAGTGTGGACTTGAAGCTGGGTCTCATTGGCTTCTGCCTGACATCTTATAAGAGGCTGGCTGAAATCCTGTTGCTTAGTGTAGTAAGTCACAACTGGAGTAGGCTTATTTGAATTGGTGGAATTTACAGAGGCGTTGACTCACCCAATCCCCACTGATTCCAATGGGCTTACGTTAGTTGCCATTCACTACACTAAGTGACAGGGTGGCAGCCACTCTTTCTTCCTCTGACACATAGGCACAGAGACAGCCAAGAATGGGAAGGCATCAGAGCTGAGGAGATGTGCCCAGACAACGTCACCAAGGGATCCTGCATGTGAAAAGCAAAATTTGCCAAATGACATGAGGCCTCTTCGCATATTCAGGCACATTTTAACACAGCATGAAGATCTAGTGATGAAAGTGTGCCCGCTTTTTGTCCTTCCTTGTGTTCAAAACCTCCTTTATGTTTCAGCTTCAAGAAGTTGCTGACACTAGGAACGCATAGTGCGAAGTGGATTGCAAGATGCTGCAAGGGTTCACTCTATCAGGGTTGTATGATCTCTCTTGCACATATTCCTAGGGCTATGTGATCACCCTAAGAGCAGAGATGGGCAGAGTGGGACCCTCACAATGTTGTTGAACTATACCTCCCCATTAGCAATAGCCAAAATAGCCAGTGGTGAGGGATTCTTGGATTTCCAGTACAAAAATGTCAGGAAGTCCATATGTGCCTCTTCCCTGACACCAATGGAGCCTAACTTTGACCTTGTTCCTTTACTTTTATGATGTCAATCCCTGTATCCACCACCTAGCACAGCTTTTACTCCGTCCACCTTCTTGCTTGCCCCGATAATTTTCTGTTTTTCTAAATATATACACACAGAGAGAGAAAGACAACAATCCTTCCAGATTAATCTGATTTAAACACCCCTTCCCCATGCTGTACTCACAATCTTGAAAACACAAATCCCCAACCTTTTACATTTCTTTGGTGATCCAAAAGAATTATACCACCCTTATCCAGATCCCACAGACACTACAAATAATGTAAATTCCACTCTTTTGCTTTTATTAGATGTGTGGAACATGACATGAAATGGGTTCCAGGGTGTCTCATGTGGTAAGCCTATTACTCCGAAATAAGTTCCACTGAGTTTGATGAGGATTACTCCCAAGTACGTGGATTAAAAAAGGGGCATCCTGAATGAATACTCAGGGATTTATTTCTGAATAAGCATGCACAGGATTCTATTGAATTTTGCCTTACATGATCCTGAGTGCAAATGTGCATTGGGTTTGAAAAAAAGTACTAGTGATCAGGAGTACAAATGGGTGGTTAAGAGGTACATCTATCTGTACAAAGTGACATTACATTCATCATGTACTACTCTACTTGTTGTTAATCTGGGGTAATAACACATCCTCTAGCTTCATTTCTCACGGATACTCATATCTGGCATAATTCCCTATTGACCTCTACATAAATACCCTATTTTCCCGAAAATAAGACCTAGCCTGAAAATAAGCCCTAGTATGATTTTTCAGGATGCTCGTAATATTAGCCCTACCCCAAAAATAAGCCCCAGTTAAGTGAATCCCACCCTCCACCACCGTGCAGCATTCTGCAGCCACCAGAAGATGACGTGACTGTATTTGAATAAACGTAGATTGTTGTACATGAAGAAAAAAAACATCCCCTGAAAATAAGCCTTACTGCCTTTTTTGGAGCAAAAATTAATATAAGACCTTGTCTTATTTTCAGGGAAACACTGTATGTGTTCAAATTGTCTAGTCAAAACATTTTTCAGCTTTGACAGTGTTACGGATTAGATAGCTTTCTTAACATACTTGGGTCATTTTTAAGGAGAATGGAGAGAGAAAAACATTTTGAATAAATAAACAATAAGCACTGTAGGGAAATTTGTCCTTGAGCAAAAAGTTCGCTTGGGTACCAATGAGCTTCTATGGCTCAGAACAGCCTACTCTGGAGGGTTGTACTGAGGATGAGCCGAAATAACCATATACGTGCCACCTTGACCTTGTCAGTGGGATGAATGGCTACAAAGACCTCCCAAATCATGCCTCCAGCAAGATGTTTGAAGAGTAATGTTCGGGCATGGGCTAATTTGACGTCACTTGCA